AACATTCCACTTGTTTCTTTCGACGTGCTCCTTCTGTGACCTGAAAGCTCTGGTTCCTACTAGCACCTTGGTGAGCTAGCTGGCTGGTTCCCCAGCTATAATATCATGTTTGATCTCTCCTGCCTGGAGAGGCGATAGCGTTGATTTTGTTTTTAAAGTTGGTGTCAGAGCAGCTACAAACTTTTTTCAGCATCCCTGCCTGGCTGCCAACTGGAGCTCTCTGTTCACTTCCTCACCAACTTGAACCACCCCCAAACTGAGAGTAAGCTGGAGTTAGACAGCGGCAGGAACTGACACACTTTCAAGAAGGGTTTGACACCGCAGAAAACTTTCACTTCTCCAACCCTTCCACCCAGGGGTTCTGGCCCTTCGCTCTTGCTTCCCCGCTAGAATTCCCCTCTGGGGCAGGACAAGGACAAGGGCAGCAGATCGTTCGAATGACCCCGAAAGGGACCCCCAAAGCCCTCTCCCCTGGACTCATGGGCTGTTCTTTACACAAAAGAGCCGGGCCAGCTTGAAAAGCAAAGGGGACAGCGTCGCGGCCCTTCTCCTGGGTGCCACCCTCCACCGCGCCCGCAGACCCTGTCTCCAGCCGCCCGAGCAGTCTCCACTGGAGGCTTCCTGCCCCCAACCCGGCCAGACAAAGCCTCGGCAGCCGGGCCGGCACTTCCGAGCCTCCGGACTCGGGACGCCGCGCTCTTACCCTGGCCTCATCCAGAGTGACGCCGGCGCCACCGCTTCCCCCGGCCTTGGCGGCGGGGCAGTCCTACAAAACTAGAGAAGAGCTAACCATAAATATACAACCTGCTTCATAAATATGTAGTCCATAATCTTAATAAATTCAGAATTATAATTTATCCTCTTCTAAAGGTCCAATCGCTATGTAAGAGTAGTAAGTCTCTAAAAAACCTTTCAGAGAAAGCAATTAGATCACTCCATCATCTCCTAGAGCCATAACATAAATCTTCTTAAGACTGAAAAACAAATATTTCAAAGTAAATCTTTAGTAGCCTGTTATTTATGGTGCTTTAAAACATTTTAAAAGGATCTTTGAAACAAAGTTTCATTAGTACCCTTCTACAAAGAGCTCTCATATCTTTCATTCTTTTAGCAATTTAAAAGCTACCAAACGTTCATTTCCTCATTAGATTATTGATTCCTAGCCTTTTAACATCTCTATAACAGCTGCTTGACAAATTACCTCACCTTATTCCTCAGGGGGTAAGGACAGCATGATAGCCATGAATTCAAAAATGGGACCACAAACTGATGAGTGAAGATGAGCTAATTGCTGCAGATGAGTTAGACACTGCTCTAATAGACTAGGCACTCACATAGCATGATACAATTAAATGCTTACACCCTAAATATTTTCTTTGTCCTTAAATGTAGAGAAAAGATATTTTCTTAAATTGAGTTTTATTTTAAAATATGTGATAGCCTCAGTAGGTCAAGAAGCTGGAACATGTTTGGAATAGTTTCTACCAAAAGCCTCGTCTTCAAAGTACTTATTCTCAATAGTTTGCACAACTTTCAGATTTAACCTTATTTCAACCTAAGAAATTCGTAAGCCCCCAAAATAGTCTATTACATAGGACAGTTATAATGCCCAAAATTTTATCAAATAAAAGCTAAGACGATTTTCAAAGATATAATAAAAATATTTCAGAGTAGTATCGTAAAATATTCCTGTTGTCTCTGCCTAGATCCGTTCTGTTAGTGTCAAAACAGTTTAAGACACAAAGAGAAAAAGCACACACAAACCGCGATCTTGTAGACCCCTAGAACATAAAATATTGCTTCCCCCCAGTAAGAAACACAAAATGGTGTGGAATTAAAGAAGCATTTTAAATGAACAGCATTTTCCAGCCAAATTACTTAGCAAGTCAGTCTCTTTTAGACAGAAGCAATACACTCTTCTCTGAATTCAGAAACAATTTCATAGTAAAATAAACGTGTCAATTCCTTTTTAAAGCAATAAATATCTGTGCTTAGCTTTATACTGTAGGTAATAAAATTTCAAGATCTTTCAATCATTTTTTTAATTCAATCACCAGGGTCTTCAAATGTCATTTTTGCAACTGCATGACAACACTGGTGTTCATTCAACTTTTGTAATGTAGTCCCATAACGAAAATGTAGACACCCAAGAAACCACACAGTT